TCCGCGGCAGTGAGTAATCTTTAATAAGAAGGACACAATTGCGCAACATTACCGCCACGGTCTAACCACTCTTCTCAATTTATTTTCTGAGTCAAAAAGTGCAGGAAATGTGACTTTTGGAGAGGTTGGTTATCTGTGGAACTATAGCCGGGTTTCCACTATTGATCCTTTACACCTACATCACCTGATCACATGGGTCCATCATAGCGAGTGGCAACAGCAAATTACGGGAGTATTGAACAGAGAGCAAAAGTGGAGACTGAGCCTGTTTTTGTTGCCAGTTTAGCCTGGTTCAAGCCCATTTCACTTGTGGGAAGGTTAGCGCACCTCGGCGGGGCTCAGAGATATTTACACAAGTTAAATGTTAGCTAGCTTAGGAACGTTAGCTTACGTTCTCCCTGCTGCTGCTCACCAACGTAAACAAGTTGCCGACTTTGCCAAAATTCACCCCACTGGATTTACAACATCATGTGATAAACAGCGATTCACTTTACACGGGAGCTGATGAAAATAAAAAGAAGTACAGGTCCGTACCAGTTTTTGTCGCTGGCTGGGTCCAGCCTCTCACACCGGGGTGAGACAAGATATCTCTTATCGAGCGAGTTGCCTCAGAGCTCATTTAAAAATGATGTCTGGTTAAAACGATTCATTCTGGAAGTTGCCAATGTGACATAAATGTTTGGCCACAGTTGCCTGAAGGGATCCGGGGGGGGGGGGGGGGGGGGGGGGGGGGGGGGGGGGTCTGAGATGTGTTTTTGCGGGAATCTAGATGTGCTGTAAGTTTGAAATTTCCACTAAATGTCATGTTCTGTGTCCCTTTGTTCCCCAGCCCCTCCAGTTCCCACACCAGGTTCTCCTTTTGTGTTTCACAGCGCCCTCATGTGTCCTTTGTCTGCGTCTCATTTATGTGTCTCTTTGTTTTCCTCATTTGTCCCCTGGTCTTCAGCCTTCCAATTATATCTCTCAGGTCCTGTGTTCCTTTAGTCCTCTCCAGTCACCCCTCTGCAGTGTTTATAGTTTCAGCTTTTCATTTTATCAGTCTCTTTTATATGTTTTGTCCCACCAGTCTTTGTAGTTCTCCTTCCCTTTAGAATATTAGTTATGTGGTTGCTTTTCTTGTTTTTAGGTTTTTTCTTAGGTCATGTGAGTTCCCTCCCTGATTAAGTATTGCTTTCACCTGGTCCTCTCCCCACACACCTGCAGCTCATCTGCCTCCCATCATGCCCCAGTTTATTTAAGCCCTGTCTTGTCTCAGTGTCTTGTTGGTCCATTGTTGTTTGTCAGTGGTGTTTTGGTGTTCTGTGTAAGTTTCCGCTCTCGTTCCCAGTCTGTGCTCTAAGTGAGCTTTTTACTCCCGTTCCTGGATCTTTGGTTTTTGGCTCCCAGCCTTTTTGGGTTTATTTTTATTTTGGACTCATCCTAAAATAAAAGGATTTTCTTTATATCAACTCCTGCCTCGTGTCATCCTGGGTATCTGCATTTTGGGTCCAAACCATCCTCTCATCGTGACACTGAAAGATTCAGACTTGACCCAGATAATTCAAACTACAACAAACAAATCATCCCCAACTCCTCACAAAGACACTGTGCGTCGCTGCCATTTACGCTTAACCGTTAACCTCCAACGAAGCAGCCAGGTGTCCTCTCTCATTACCAATCAACCAACCTGCTTTTTCCCTCTCGTGTAGAAGAGAGAAAACCTTCTCTTCTTCTTCTTCGTCTTCAAAGATTCTGTCAGACTCTGAGAACAAGTGGACACGCCGCATCTAGTCCTCCTCTATTGTTGAAACGACTATCCGGGCCCGTGTCGTCCTACTCCCAGATGATCGGACACGAGCGTGGCACGGCTGAGTGAGATGGGATGTGGCAGAGCGACAGGGGCGGCCGGTCAGGCTGTGAACAATCACAGAGATGTGAGAAAGCCCGCTCTCACAGCTGTCACCCACTTGCAAGAGACCATCAGGAGACGGAGATCTGTCAGATCATGTTTCATGACTTCATTGCCTCCAATAAATTATGGATTGAGTCATGAGCGACTGAAGACGGAGGTGACGTTAGAGCAACGGCTGGGCTCAGGTGTCTAGAAAAGACAAGATGAATCAGATGAGATGAAAACTTTTACCTCAGGAAACAAACCGGGGAGCGGTCGTCGTAAACGTCCCAACCACATCAAAGTCTCAGCTCGATAAGCTACTTAAAGGTGACGCGTCTGTTTTGGAACACCATCAACTCGCTCATCAAATTGTTACTTCAGTAAATATGAATACACACCGGGGTGTTTACTAAACAAAAATAAATAAATAAACGCCCGCTTGGATAATAGATGGTGGGTTTCCCTTCTGCCTTCAGTCGGCCGTCGCTTGTAAAAGCAGTTATTACCAAAGCAGGCATAGTACTGACGCTGGAGATAACAGAGAAGCTCGGTTTAATCAGTTCTTCCTCTTTTTTTTTTTGAAAAGTTCTTCCTGAAAACGGTGATTTAGGAAAGTTCCCACTGACTTTTGGCACACAACGGTCCAAGGAGGCAGTAAAGTTCAGTTATAACGTTCTGAAGTCTCGTATGGCTGTGAACATCGAGTGTCTTA